CTTCTCTTCCTTTTAAAAAACAAATGGTGAATCCTCTCAGCTGGCCTCTCAGCCATGGGGAGGGCTGTTTCTGAGACTCCAAGCAAGGGGGGGGAGTCATGCTTGATGCATGGCAGCATGCCTAGGTCTATTTCCCCCAAACTCCACCAGTTTTCAAATTTGGGCATATTGAGTATTTGTGCCAAATTTGGTCCAGATACATCATTGTTTGACTCCACAGTTCTATCTGGCTGTAGTGGACTACAACTCCAAAACTCAAGGTCAGTGCCCACCAAACCCTTCCAGGATTTCCTGTTGGTCATGGGAGTCCTGTGTGCCAAGTTGAGTTTAATGTCATCATTGGTGGAGTTCAGAATGTTCTTTGATTGTAGATGAACTATAAATCCCAACAACTACAACTCCCAAATGACAAAATCAATCCCCCCACAACCCCACCAGTATTTATATTTGCGCGTATCAGGTATTTGTGCCAAATTTGGTCCAGTGAATAAAAATACACCTTGTATTTCAGATATTTACATTATGATTCATAACAGTAGCAAAATTGCAATTAAGAAGTAGAAACAAAAATAATGTTATGGTTGAAGGTCACCACAACATGAGGAACCCCCTGAAGACGTAGGTTTGCAGCTTGGGTGTGATCCTGGATTCATCGCTGAGCCTGGACCCCCAGGTTTCGGCGGTGACCAGGGGAGAATTTGCACAACGAAAACGTGTGCGCCAGCTGCGCTCGTATCTTGGGAAGTCTGACTTGGCCACGGTAGTCCACGCTCTGGTTACATCCCGCATAGATTACTGCAACACACTCTACATGGGGTTGCCTTTGAAGACGGCCCGGAAGCTTCAAATGGTCCAGCGTGCAGCAACCAGGTTGTTAACAGGAGCGGCGCTCAGGGAGCACACAACTCCTCTGCTGCATCAGCTCCACTGGCTGCCAGTTTGCTACCGGGCTCAATTCAAAGTGCTGGCTTTAGCCTATAAAGCCCTAAATGGTTCCGGCCCAGCCTACCTATCCGAACTCATCTCTTCCTCCGAACCCTCCAGAAAGTTAATATCGTCTGAGGAGGCCCTGCTCTCGATCCCATCTGCTTCACAAGCACACTTGGCGGGGACGAGGGACAGGGCCTTCTCTGTGGTGGCCCCTTGGCTGTGGAACTCCCTGCCTAGGGATATTAGATCAGCCCCCTCCTTCCTGACTTTTCGGAAGAGAGTAAAAACTTGGCTCCTCGAGCAAGCATTCGGAACCCCAGAATAAATAGTCAAGCTTGAGATGGAGAATGACCCAGGAACGGCCAAGACGATGAAACGGATGAGGATTGGAACGAGAGGATATAGCTCTTTTTAAACTGTTATTTGCACTGTCTTTTTTGTTTAAATGAACTTAATTCTTTTTGCTTTTTGAATATATGTATTGATGGCATCGAATTGTGCCGATATGTAAACCGCCCTGAGTCGCCTGTGGGCTGATATGGGCAGGATATAAATAATGTAAATAAATAAATAAAAATAAATAAACTTTAATAATAATAATAATAATAATAATAATAATAATAATAATAATAATAAACATTTATTTGTATACCACTCTATCCCCCAAGGGGACTTAGGGTGGTTTCCAGTGTAGGTCAAACATTGCAATTACAGCCATAAAAATATACAAGTAATCATTATAAAAAAGAGATAATACTATAAAACAGTCATACATATTTAAAATTAAAAACAAGTTCAGTGCTTATTCCATCGGGTAAGTTCTGTTTCCTATGGCCAAGATTTGAGAGTGGGCCTTGATAACTATGGGAGGGCTGGGCTAATATAACAAGGGCCAGGGAAATGGATAAAGTGTAAGCATGATCCTGCATGATGGTCAGGGCGGGACCTGCAGATGAGTTAGGGGGGAAACAAGGTTACCCCGTCCCACTCCGGGCATCACCAGATTTGTCACAATGTGTGGCGATTCCAGCGGCCCATCACTAGCTGTTAATCAACCACTATAACACTATAGTAAAAGAAAGACTAGATGGCTGGGAAAGGATATAGGGAAACAGGGAATGAAGTTTTGACTTTTCAGACAAGCTCCAATTTGAAGTGAGAGTTGTGTGTGAGAGACAGCAATGGGTTTTTGTCTTCTACAAGAGAAAAAAGCTTGAAAATTTCTTACAATTACTTTGCCGAATAAATGGAAATCACATTGAAAGATCCACTCCAACTTTCCCCCTGATGTTTCCCCATCCAAAGCGCACCCAGTTTCCACTCCATACTGACAAAAAATTGCTGATTTTTTTTGGACATCAAATCCTAGCATAACAAAGGTGGAAAAGGAGGTCATTAACGGATTTTTCTGTCTTAATTTCATTGAAAGAAATGCTTTCCAAGTGGTATGTTATGAAATAACAACACAAGAGCAATGATGTTATGTGATAAGCTCCAACCAATGATACTATTCTCCTGATGTAACTCTGTTATACCTGCCTTGAGTGATAAGGCTCCATGGTTAGTTAATTTAACTACCGTAGATACTTGAGAATAAGCCAAATCGAATATAAGCCGAGGCACCCAATTTTACCACCAAACATTGGGAAAACTTATTGACTCAAATTAGGCCCATAGCCAGGATTTTGATGGGGGGGTGAGTTTGATTTGGGGGGGGGGGCTGAGTTTGATTTGGGGGGGGGTGTGAGGATCTACCCTACCAAACCTTTTGTATTGTTATCCCAATACCCCCATGCATATGGGATATATTGAGCATGGTGATCAGATCATGATATTTATTTATTTATTTATCATGTCAGGAACGAACCAAAACAGTTGTATTGCATTAAAAAACAAACAAACAAAACACAAAGTTTGCAGACTTGGTATTCTATTAAATGCCCTTTGACCAGTAGCTGCCCAAATTCAGATCATGATATGGATAAACATAACAGCTTAAATAATGTACCAGTAAGGCCTTCTCACGGACCACCCTGAGAATTTCGGGGGGGGGGGGATGAAGACTCTTAAGCCCCCACCCCCACCCTGGCTACATGCCTGACTCGAGTATAAGCTGAGGGTGGGAAACGCAGCAGCTACTGGTACATTTCAAAATAAAAATAGATGCCAATAAAATTACATTAATTGAGACATACAGCTTCTCCTCTCGGCACAGGAACCCAGGCCACGCACCTTCTTCTCCTCCTCTCTCGGCACAGAGATCCAGCTGAGTTGCTGTGCCAAAAGGGGAGGAGACATGCAACTGGCAGCAGCCCTGCAAAGGGCTTCTTTCAGCTCCATGCCTTGCCGCCAGGACCCTCACTCAAGTATAAGATGAGGGGGCCTTTTCAACATTAAAAAATGTGCTGAAAAGCTAGGCTCGTACTCGAGTAAATACAGTAATTACTTTAGCTGATAAATGTTAACTATTTCTAGGCTTTGGATGACAAGGGGTTTTGTTTCTCACTCCCTCAGCATTAAATAATGGGAATAAAAGTTACACTTCAAACCACAAACATCTCAAGACAGGGAGACATTTGACAGGAAAATGAGGGTATGCCTACACTAATGCATCTTGACACTACTTTAACTGCCATGGTTCAATATTATGGAGTCCTGGAAATGGTAGTTGTATGAGGTATTTTGCCTTTTCTGCCAAAGAGTACTGGTGCCTCATCAAACTACAAATCCCAGAGGTTCTTGCCGTTGTTTTTCATGTCAGGAGCGACTTGAGAAACTGCAAATTGCTTCTAATGTGAGAGAATTGGCCGTCTGCAAGGACATTGCCCAGGGGATGTTTTGATGTTTTACCATCCTTGTGGGAGGCTTCTCTCATGCCCCCACTAGGGGAGCTGGAGCTGACAAAGGGAGCTTATCTGCACTCTCCCCAGATTTGAACATCTGACCTGTTGATCTTCAGTCCTGCTGGCACAAGGATTTAACGCATTGCGCCACCGGGGGGGGGGGCTCCTTGTCCTCAGCATTGAGCCACAGCACTTAAAGTGGTGCATTATTTCTACAGTGTAATAGAAATACAGGCTGACACAATACATTTTGTTGCCTGAGTCAACAAAACAAACGTTGCCCACTCCCAAGAAACATTCAAGCATCCAAGGGTTATTTTGGCATAGTGGGCAAAACGAACAAATAAATAAAAAAGTATCACTGGAAGTGAATGAATGCGTCACTAACAATTTGCACCTTTTAATGACATCCCCAAACCTGTTGTGTCTGGTAGCATCCTCACTTTGGCCAAAGACAGATCTGGCCCCGCAAAATTATAAGATGCTCCTAGCCTACCTCCATTTGCTTTTTTATGTTTACCTCCTTTCTCTACTAGTATTCTCACTTGTTTTCAAGGAGTCCAGGTACAGCCTTCCCATCCCCTTCCACATCGCAAACAAATAATAAAGTACATGTATTGTCGAAGGCTTTCTTGGCCGGAATCACTGGGTTGTTGTAGATTTTTTCGGGCTATATGGCCATGTTCTAGAGGCATTCTCTCCTGACGTTTTGCCTGCATCTATGGCAAGCATCCTCAGAGGTAGTGAGGTCTGTACATGAAGTACATGATTTCAAAATCTGAAGCATCATGTCCATAAAAAGTTCTTCAAGAAATGGACAATGCTTTCAGTGTAAAGAATGGGGCAAGAAGAGGAGGGAGCCTGAACAATAAACAAATAAACAGGAAGAATAGGAAATGGTTTAGCATTTACTTCCACTCGACCAAGTCTCTCCTCTTGCAAACTGCACTCTTCCATTCCTAACTAGTTGGTTGATTTGCATTGCCAGAGCACAACCCAAGCATCTCATGGCAATACAGTGAGAATTACAACTGGCATTTACAGATATATCACATCTGCTTGTCGAGCTGTTCTATAAACTTAAACAGCTCAAACAAAGGACTTTGAGACACACTCATTGTCAGCTTTCATGCAGTTGCAACTAATAACTCCTTCACACTAGTCACTCCTATCTGAGATCAATCGTGTTTCCCATTCTTTCAATGCTGTGATGAAATGATTTCTTACCTGGCCTCTGCAGATTCAAATCCTCTTTCCTCAAAAGGACACAAACTGCAGGCACAGCAGTCACTTGTGGGCTTTCCTAAGGTTTTACCTGTAACATGATTTGCATGGCCCCTCCCCACCTCTGCAATTGTTCCAACCCAAGTCACGATTCCAGGTTCCAACATTTTTAGCGAGACAGTTTTTCACAGTTACATAATCACAGACTGTGCCTACTGCATTCAATGGGGTAAAAAATGATTTTTTTAAAAATTATGTCAGAAGTAAATTGAGACCACACTGCAAGTTGCTTCTGGTGTGAGGGAATTGGCTGTCTACAAAGACATTGCCCAAGGGACGCCTGGATGTGTTATCATCCTGTGGGAAGCCTTCTCATGTCTCTGCATGGAAAAGCTGGGGCTGACAGATGGGAGCTCACCCCATCTTGCGGATTCAAACCACTGACCTTCAGGTCTTCAAGACAGCAGTCCAGTCAGCACAAGGGTTAACCATTGCAGCTCCCTAGAAAATGATATGAAAGCACGTAGGTTCTTTTCTGGAAACCATTTCTGTGCTACATTCTTATCTTAGCTCTATAAGATATCGTAGAGATATAAAAAAAAGAGCTTGTTTATTTCACTTAAATCCCAACTTTCTTCCAGTGGGTCAGGTCTCCCTCCTTCCCACACTATTCTCTCAATGATTTTCCTCACTGTCACAACCATCCATAAAAATTAGAATTACAAAGGCACGAACATTGTTGACTTTGGCTTTCAGTGATATTTAAGAGCACCTGCAGGGATGCATATTTCCCATTCCTGACCTAGGCCAAAGTTTTTTATGAAAATGACTTGCAGTTCAAATCAGCATATAAGCCATGGCGGTTTAAACCTTTCCACTCAGGACCCCTTGATTTTTTTTTACATGTCCCCAGGTTTACAGGCAGTCCCCAAATTATGAACAAAATAGGTTCTGTATCTTGAGGCCAAGATGAATTATTTTGGCCACATCAAACTGTTGGAGGGCCGGATTATAATTTGAAAAAAGCATGAATGAATTCCTATAAGCACTGCACATATCTTATTTGTAGTGCAAAAACCCAATTTAAAACAATACAATAATTAAAATGAATAACAATTTTAACAAATATAAACTTATCAGTATTTCAACGGGAAGTGTGGGCCTGCTTTTGGCTGATGAGATAGGATTGTTGTTGTTGTGTGCTTTCAAGTCATTTCAGAATTAGGTTGACCCTGAGCGAGGGCTGGGTAAACGACCTTGTAGGGCTGTATTCGGCCCCCAGGCCTTAGTTTGAGGACCCCTGCTATAGACCATCAAGTACAGTATAAGAGAAGCCAACAGCTAAATATTTCTCATGTTGCTGCTCACATTAATTTAGTAGCAGAGGCTTGCAGCCCGTCAGCTGATGTGAGATTTCCTATACAAATTCCACCAGCCAAAGGACTATTTCCTCACCACATTTCTTCCTCACTATATTTCCCTCTTTTCATCATCTTGCTATCTGCCTCCTTCTCCAACTCATATGGTGCATCACTGGTGGGCACTATGGGACATTTTTCATTCAGACAGAAGGGCATCAGAGGGGTCAAGGACCTGCAGGGAGAACCTGGAATGCTGGTTATCGCCCATAGACTTACTTTGCCCACCAAAGCTATATAATTTTGACAATAATCACCAACCAGAACAGGCTTCAAAATAATGATTTCCAAGCTGAAAACCCAAGGTGTTGTCCAACTTCTGTTGTATCTGGAAACCAATGTACGACCCACTTTTCTAAAGTGAAGGAGATTTATCTCTGAGCATACTTGGGAAGGGAGGGGAAGAGAGGAGAGATTCCAGATCTGAGTGTATCGGTCTTTATGTAATCAATAGTCTCTAGGTGTTATTCCCCACTTGTCATTTCACAACAGGGGACAAAAGTGCCAACTAAGAACACAGAGATCTCCCCTTTAGTAGCAGACTTAATTTCCTGTAAATACAGTATGTCCTAGAGGAACATTTTCCTTCTGGAACACAATCTACTCCCACACTTTCGGCTGTGTGGGGAATGAAACCCAGCCTCTTGCCAAAATTCTTCTATTGTTTGAGCCCTATTGTTTTCTTTTATGAGCATATTCAATGCACCCCAGTGTAAATCCAGGCTGAGGCAGATGAGTATCTAGACCTGAGCTGAACTTTAAAGGCAGACACACAATGCTTCCAGCTTCTAAAAACCATGGCAAGGTTTCTAGTACACAGTGTAATTTTTTTACCTGAAGGTATCAAAGGACCAAACTATACAACACAGGACTCTAAATGGAAGAGGTATTGCATAACCTTTCATGTGCAGCAAGTTCATATATACTGGATGTGCACAGGGGCGGCTCGTCCATTATGCGAAGTAAGCGGTCGCAGAACACTTTTTTTGCCAGGGGCGCAGAGGCACCTCTGTAAATGCCCCTCGACTGCCACTTGAAGAGCATCCCCTCAACTCACAACAGCGCCCTAGCAGTCCGGGGGGAGCCTCGGCTTTCTTGCCTCGCTGCTGGGCGATCCTCTTCCCAAAGGGACCGGGCCCTTGAGCCTCGCCTAGCCCCTCTCGTTCCTGCTCCACCTGGCCACCGGGTGCGTGAGCAGAGCCGGCGCTCGATCGTTCTCCACGTTCGATCCCTTCCCCATGATCGGCTCCCTTTCCTGATCCCCTGGTGCTCCATCCGCCTCCTCTCCTCTCCCCAATCCGTGGGTGGGCCAAGGGGCGGAGCCGCCACGCCTGGCCTGCTTTGGGTCCGGAGGCGTGTCTGAAGACCCCAGTGTGCGCACCAAAAGTTGCCTCTTCTCCTGACTTTCTCTTCAGCCATTGGAACCAAGAGAGAGAGAGGGGGAGAGAGAGGGAGCCCTCCGGCTGGAGGTATTTCCCACCTCCGCTCCCTCCTTTGTTTTTGCGCCTACCTTCAGGAAAGGTGGGGATCTCCATCTCTGTCTGTCTCTCTCTCTCGGTTCCAATGGCTGAGGAGAAAGTCAGGAGAAGAGGTGACGTCTGGTGCACACGCCGGGGTCTTCAGGCACGCCTCCGGACCCAAAGCAGGTCAGGCAAGGGAGCAAATGCGGCAAGTGTAGTTACTGGGATGTATAGTTCACGTATTTATTTATTTCAGTTACTTCTACACCGCCCTTCTCACCCCCAAGGGGGGACTCAGGGCGGCTTACAAAAGAAGGCACAATTCGATGCCTATGTCAAAAATACATACATACATAAAAGCAATTAAACAGTTAACAGGTTAAAAACATCAATACGTAACACAATAGTAAACAACCTCATGCTCAGTGTTCAGAGGTCCATAAATCCATTCCATTCCGTCAATTCCTGCCCATCATCAAGGTCTTTCCTTTAGCTGCCAGAATGTCTGAAAACCTGGTCCCACATCCAGGTCTTCAATTTTTTTCTGAATGAAAAAGGGGAAGTCGCTGATCTAATCTCCCCGGGGAGTGAGTTCCACAGGTGAGGGGCCACTACCGAGAAGGCCCTGCTCCTCGTCCCCGCCAGCCTCACTTGTGAGAGAGGCGAGGTCGAGAGCAGGGCCTCCCCAGAAGATCTTAGACTCTGAGGTGGGACGTAGAGGGAGATCTGTTCGGACAGATACACTGGGCCGGAACCATATAGGGTTTTGTAGGTCAAAACCAGCACTTTGAATTGTGCTCGGAATTGGATTGGCAGCCAGTGGAGCTGACGCAACAGGGGGGTGGTATCAAAGAGCATTCTGAACTCCACCAATGATGGAATTGAAGCAAATATGGCACACAGAACTCCCAGACAAACAGAAAATATATATCAATGATTGGTTGCGGGGGGGAGGGGGAGCGCCAAAATACTGTTTGCTTACCGCTGAAAATTACCTAGGGCCACCTCTGGATGTGCATTAAGTGACTCTGATTATTAGGAAACTAGCAGTCCCCTGCCACGCATTGCTGTGGCCCAGTCTGGTGATATGGAAAATGAAGTAATTAGAAAGCGCTGGTCTTTATGCTTGTGGATGTCTTTATGCTTGTGGATAAACAGTATTTCTTGATGTTTCTTTGACAGTGTTGACGTAGGGATTGTCTGGTTTGCCTACTCTGGAACATGCAACATATAACTGTCCATCTTTAGGAGTCCCTTTCAAATCTATAATACTTTATCTCTGTGTGTGTGAATTATATATATATATATATATATATATATATATATATATATATATGGCTCTCTGTCAGGAGGGCTTTGATTACGTTTTCTTGCCCTGGTGAAGGGAGTTGGACTAGATGGCCTTAAGTATTTTCTGTTGGTCATGGGGGTTCTGTGTGGGAAGTTTGCCCCAGTTTTGTTATGCATTGGGTTCATTCAGAATGCTCTGTGATTGTAGGTGAACTATAAATCCCAGTAACTACAACTCTCAAATGCCAAGTTCTATTTTCTCCAAATTCCATCTGTGTTCATATTTGGGCATATGGAATATTTGTGCCAAGTTTGGTCCAGATCCATCATTGTTTGAGTCCACAGTGCTCTCTGTACGTAGGTGAACTACAACTCCCAAACTCAAGGTCAATGCCCACCAAACGCTGTTAGTATTTTCTGTTGGTCATGGGAGGCCTGTGAGCCAATTTTGGTTCAATTCCATTGTTGGTGGAATTCCGAATGCTCTTTGATTATATGTGAACTATAAATCCCAGCAACTACAACTCCCAAATGACAAAATCATAATTTTTGAGTGATGGTCACTCCTTGTGTAGTGAGACATTTTGTTGCCAAATTTGGTGTGATTTTGTTCATTGGTTCTTTTGTTTTTAAGGTACTCATTATGCACAGTGCATTTTTATATATATAGATGTATATATGGTTTCCTACTCCTTGCCCATCAGGGTTTTCTTTCCCTAACAAATTATGATCTTTGGAGGCAAATTTGCTTAATTTCCCATCCTTTCCTCTACCAGCAAAACCACTCCATGTCCACATCCATGTTTCTCCATGGGAAAAAAAAAGATATGGGGATTCACATACCTCTTTCCAGAGTTGGAGAGCAACTGGGAGGAAGGAGGCTAATTTGGCAT